CTGTCGCTGAGGCCAAGGTATATGGTGAAGCTGTTGTGGACAAGGAGGAGTGCACAAACCATGTGGCCAAGCGTCTAGGCACTGCACTTCGGAAACTGCCAACAAGACTTCCACGAGGGGAAAAGCTGACAGATGGCACAATTCAGAAGCTGCAGAACTATTACCGTATTGCAATCACAAACAACAGAGGTGATATTCTGAAAATGCATCGTGCCATCTGGGCCTCATATTTCCATTCATCATCGAGCAACACAGCAGGCAGCCACCGATACTGTCCAGAAGGGGCGACTTCCTGGTGCAAGCATAGGCGAGCTGAAGCGCTTGGGGAGGCCCCACCCGACCACACACCAATCTTGACCAAGGCTCAAGGATTGGCTGTGCTTCCCATTTACAAGCGGCTCACAGATGAAAAGTTGCTGGTGCGTTGTATCCAAGGGAAGACCCAAAACGCTGCAGAATCTTTGAACAGCAAAATCTGGTTGTTGTGTCCGAAGACTAAGTTTGCCTCCCGGACAACAGTGGAAACTGCAGCTGCTATGGCCGTGTTGTGGTTCAATAAAGGACATTCAAGCTTTGAACACGTGCTAGAGGAGCTTGGTGTAGTCCCACCAGATCAACTGATCACCCTGGGCCAATCCCGCGACCAGAGGAGAATCGAAAGAATGTCTGCGTGTGAAACAGCCGAGGCAAGGGCCCATCGGCGGAACGTGGCAAAGAAAGCGCGCCTTGATGACTCCCTTCTCAAGCGGCGAGAAGGATCCACATATGGAGCAGGACAATTTTAGGTGCTCTAGCTGTGTCCCTTCTATGATATCACCAAGTTTTGTGCAAATCGCACTGTGTAATCATGAGTAAACATATTTACAACTTTCAAATGCATTTTTCTCGATTTCCATTTTGAGGTAATTCTCTCATCTTGTGCACAATCTTTTTTAGGCATAAAATAGTCCTATCTTGATGAAATTTTGCACAGAGCTTAATCAGCCACTCTAGAATACAAGTATCTACTTTAGGTTGCATTATACATCACAGATTTTTTGTTACACAACTTGATACACTGATAGAGAGATGTAAAATATGCATTTAGTACTTTTAATTTTTTTTTTTTAATGTAGCAAATAAATTTTCTGTTTAAGGTACTTTTCTGTATTGTACTGCTCAAGTGCAGCAGAATGAGCCATTTTGCAATTCTGTGTGAAAATTTTTAGTAAGCTTTATTATGTGCACAAAAAACACTATATTTTGATATCAAAGTTGTAGTAACTCCGGAACTACTATAGCTATCAAACAAATAATTGCAGTTATGAAATCAGCACTGCAAGCTTTACTAACACCTAAAATTTCAAGGAGCTGGGTTATGAAATAAAAAAAAAACCTTTTTCGAGTAGCATCTCCCCTTAAGAGGAGACACTGGTCTGAAATTTTTTTTTTAATTTTCAGTATTTTTAGCTGAAATTTTAATACAATGCATATTTTTCACAGCTGAAAACAAATATGCAATTAGTTTTTTGCTATCACTTTTAGATTTTTAAGCATTGAATGTTACATAAACTTGCATTCTGCCCAGCCTTTTGACATCTTCCTCATCAAATACTGCTACAAATTTGATATGACAGCATTCCATGAAGGCCAGGGAGTGCAACAAAACCATAATTTTATTTTTAGCTTCATTGATACCAGAGTTATGGCCTTAACAAGTATACTCATTAGATTATTGATTGATTGATTTGTGGGGTTTAACGTCCCAAAACCACTATTTAATAAGTATACTCATTAAAAATCTGATACTGTTGCTTAAGTTTGTTGCTAATTAAATCACTATTGTAAATAAAAATATTACATTTTTTTGTTTTCTTGCACTAATCAATGTATAAGCTTTCAAATACTGCAAGAATTATCAAAATCCAACTGCTACATCAAAAGATACTGTGGGCAATGGCTTAGGGTGTGATGAAAAATGTTTTGAGAAAACGAGAAAAGAAGTTTAGGAACATGCTGAGCACTTATATTTAACAAGAAAAGGTGTGAATTGGTGTATTAACTATGTTAGAAGCCACCAGGAATGTAGTCATCATCATTCTCCTTGGTGCGCTTTATTTTCATGGCATGCTTGAAGTTTTCAGCATGCTCACGCTTCTCCGATGCCACTAGTCGGCGACTGTCCTTTTCTGAGCATCTTTCAGCGGCCACAACACTCTGCTGCAGGTGCAGCTCCTTCAATATGGCGGCATCTGCTCTCCCTTTGCCAGCGTTGAACCTTGCGACAGCTTCGGCCACAGCAGCTTCAACGGTGAAAAGCAACGCGTGTTTGTTTTTGGACACGAGCGACCAGATGACGGAGTGCACGCTCTCGTTTGGGTTGTGTTTTGCCTCGCTGACAACGCTCCAGCAATTTCTTGTCAGAGAGGCGCGCGTAAATAGGCCGCAAGGCATCAACCACATACTCCGGCAGGTTGTAGCGATAATTCGGAGGAGTCTCCTGCTTGGCAACAGCCTTGTTGTACTTGCACCATGACTCTTCACCAGTTGGGCAGTGAGAGTGCCAAGGGCACTCACGTAGCATCACGTAGCATCAGTAGATGCTACGTGATAAAAGGTTGCCCAGACAGCATTATTCATGGCCTCAATGCTTCCTTGGTTGCTTTGTAAAGCCCATCCATAATATGACGCGAGCTTTGTGACCAGCTCGCCAGTCAGTTTGCCCTTGCCGCCAACGCTTGGCTTTCCTTCGGCTCTTTGTTTTTGCAGGAGGTTTCGAAGTGCTGTGCCCATGCGCTTATGCACATGGTTGACACAGTCCTCTTTTTCTATTGGCACGAAGCCATATACCTGTGCGTCCTGCCGACTGTTGAAGGCCCGGCTGTCTCCATCACACAACATGGTTGTGTAGCGGAGCCCATGTCTCTCCAATGAGCGGCCAAATAAAATTTGTGCTGCTTCCACCTCCATTTGTCCTGGCTTACTGGAGGTATTCTTTTGGCAAGTGTGACCAGCTAGCCACTCGGCATACCTTGGGTTGTCCTCCTTCGGCCCTAGCTGGCAGCCCAAAGAAAAGTTCGATAGGACGACGAAGTCGAGCACATAACCCGTGAATAGTTCAATCATGGTCCCTACACAAATATGCGATGAGTGGCCCCTGGTCAGCCAAGTCCCGTCAAAGGAAACGGCGATATTTCCAGGATTTCCATAGTTGAGTTCGGAATACACCGTTTTCACGGTGCTCGCGCAGTCGTCAATAACGAGCGCGGCAGGGTTCATTTTCAATTTCACATAATCCTGGTATGTATTGGTGTGCAGGCCTCTCCGTGAAATATTTAGGGCGGAAAAAATGTCGTTGAGCGCAGTTTGCCCATTTCCTGTGCTCATTGCCGCGCGAACCGCGAGCGCGTTAATTTCGAAGGGGCCGTGCGCTCCGTCCCCCGTCCCCCCCCCCCCTGCTCTCGGCGAGCTCCATACGGTCCTCAGTTTACCGCACTCGTCACATGTGAGAACAAGTTTCGCGGCTATGCCATATTCGCGGTCTTCCTTGGAGATTCTGCCAGGCCCGCCACACACACCGCACTTCATACACTGAAGAAGTTCGTTGACCAACTCTAAGCTAACGACGGTGAACGGGGTTACCAGGCGTTGCGGCTCCATCCGAGTCTCGAAAAAAAGACCGCTTGCGTTTTGTGGCAGACTTCGATGAAAGATCTTGCAGAACATCGCTCGCACGACACTCGATGGCCACTTTTTCAGCGTCGGAAACCAGGGGAGTGTCGACGCGCACAGCTCTTGTGTGATCTTGGGACGCGGCTATTGCGTCCGCGATCGCGGGTGCCGCGGCGTTGATAGCGCTGGCACAGCCTGCTTCTTCCGAGTTCTCGGCGGCAGAAGGTCTCGCTGGTGATAAGGTGCGGGCTCTCGGACGCTGTTTTCGGCTTTTTCCGAACGCATGAGCACTCAGGAACTTCCGATGACCGCCTGCCATTGCACCGAATGCACAGCCGTTGTTAGGCCTCTATGCAAAATGGCGGCTTGCACGCCGCTGTCTAGCAGACGAATCCCTTCACGTCCAATAGGAAACCGGGAACTGCCCCACGTAACAAAAACGCACCAATGACAATGTGCGAGTATTCAGTTTTTCTTTATGCGCGATAGCTGCGTTGTTGCTAGACGAAAAACATTCTTCTGCTAGGAACAGATAATAGAAAAATGCGTCTTCAAAATGAGACCGAAATTGCCGCGCTACTTGGTGCGGTTCTCGCGCGCTGCGGCGTTGAATACGACCGTTTTTGAGGTGGTTTCGGAAGCGAAAATGGCAATCAACCTACTTTGCGACTCAATAACTCGACAAATATGTATTACAGGGCTATAATATTTTAGGAACAGCTTCCTTAGACCTTAATAATTATGAAAAAAAATACTTCAAAAAATCGGTTTTTCGGAAAATTTTCGGCCTCCCATACCCGTGTCTCACCTTACGAAAGGTTTTGGTATGTTAAACATTCGTGACATTCCCAGCTTGACATTGACTCACTCGCAAATGTTCTACATACCATATATCATCCGAATAGAATTAGAACATGCATTTTTCATTCATAATTGCTTTTAAAACTTGAAATAATATAATCATAAGAATGGACGTAGGACAGAGCTGCCTTGTGATTATGTTTTCTCACACATTAAAATCAATTATTAACGTACATGAGCTCACTGAACAAAAAGTTCTCTTAAACCATTTTTGTTGCAACGATTACATGTTACTGTGATATGCTGATTTACCTCATAACTCTCTCAGTTTAGGGAAATCTATCTCCCCAAAAGGCACACAAAATATTTTGTACCTTAAAAATTACACGTTAAACAAAAAAAAAGCCTATTTGAAATCCACATACAAATATACATAAACTCAGTCCACTTCATGAAAATCAAATGAAGTCAAAAATGATTTTTAAACAACCATGTCCCCCTTGAATGCAGGCTACATATGTGAACACAGCATGAATTATCGAGCTCACCCGTCTGGGCCTTGTTGAATGCCTTCCCTGGTGCCAGACCAATCAGAGTCTGCATCCTCGGGTGAAGAAGACTTTTCTCCCAAAGCAGACACACCATCAGGATCGCTGATTCCAGAAGTCAGTGCTGCGTTATCCTTAGGCATACTTGCGCTGCTGCTGCAGGTTGCGGATGATGGGTCTCGAGCACCGGACAGCACAAGACGAGGTGCTACCGATGAAAGCAGGAAATCTCCAGCAGAATCTTCATTTTCACAAAATCCTTCCGAGCTGAGGGAGCTCCTGTTACTACCACCACCAGTAGCCATTCCAGCAGTGTTGCCAGCCAGGAGAGACAAATCATGCCCAAGTGACATCAGTGGGGTGAGCTGCTAAAACGGTAAAAAGAGGTCGGGACATGAAGCACTTTACGTCAGCAAAGAAGTATGCAAGCAAAACGTCGTACACATGCAGTACCATAAACCAACAAAATCTGCAAAAACTGCACAATTTCTAGTTATCAAACACTACTGTGTGCATTTTCATCTCACCTCTGCTACCACTTCTGAGAACACTATCAATAAGACATTAATGTCCCAACAGCACGAAGAAGGAAAATTAGAAAAGGTCAAGTTAAACCTTTCTACTAGTGTAAAAGGGGCCAATAGCAACAATCAGTAGCCTGCCCTAGCATTAAATCAGTAGTGTGCCCTAGCAATAAATGCGTGAACATTTATATGCCAGCTCAATGACAAAACTGTGCGCTCTTCGTTACTTTGTAAGATGATCATTGCTTTTGGAATAAAGAAAAATCCATTTTCCTGGTAGTGCTTGGCTTGAACTCTGGCCTCCCCACAACGAAGGCAAGCGCCCCGACTACTGGGCTACACACCCATCTTTGCAGAATGAGAATATATCTGAACCATATGAATGCATTGTACCTAGGTTTGTGCGAATACTCAAATGCTTTGAATATTCAAACAAATATTACAGTATTCAAATTTGTTTCAATTAGAATTTAAATTATGAAAAAAATTTCGAAGTATTTGAGAGGAACAAATGTATATCATGTGGCATATAACCCTTGTAGAGGTGGTTTCATTGCAGTAGGCAGGTGCTAAGCAGTGAAAAACTTGTATAATTGTACTAGTTTGCATGTAACCCCCTGTAAAGGTGATTTCACAGCAGTAAAGGTGTGCTAAGCCGTGAAACACCTACCCAAAAGAAGTTTGACTTGGGCGAAGGCCCACTTCAAGGTTAAATGGACATACTACTCTCACATCGATTCGTTTAAATTCACATCGATTTCAAATTTAAAAGGTTGTTATACAGGCTTACATGTTCAAAGTATAGTAAATATTAAAATGCAATGTACAAAAGTGAAATCCTGCTACTATTCAAAGTTGTTCCCACTTTCCTTAAAAAAGAAAAACTGCACAGGCTTTGTTTCAATTAAAAATATATATATTGCACAGATTAATAAGGTCGGGATAAATATGCTCATTTTTCTTTATAATACATGATATATAGTATTTGAATTCGATTTGAAATTATTTAACCAACATCAGTATTTTTTTCGAATTCGCTTTGAACCTAAAGTTCACTATTCGTACAAGCCAAATTGTATACACAGTGCAAAACAAATTTAAAAGAACACTTTCTATGAGGGCTTCATTGATTTTCATGATCGTGAAATACTAACATTCTCCAGGGCCAAATGTAAAGCAGACATGAACGATAGGAAAATTCTAATTATGTAAAAACTTGATGCCAGACATGTGTTCCAAATGCTCAAAAACACTAAAAAGAATATAAAAGACAATGAAAGCAGCTGCACGAAAACTTGAAACTGGCTCAAACGGGTGTTCTAATCCTTGTAACTTCCTCATTATAGCCCGTATTTGGAAAATTCTAGCGGCAGCATGTTTGCCTACCAAAAGCGCACATATAGTGTAGACCACTTATAACATAACTGCTTATAGTGCAGAATCGCTTACAATGCCGTCTTTTTCTACTCCGATTTACCCTCCATAGAACCTTATGTATACGCATACTGCTTATTGTGCAGTCCCCCAAGATGAAAGACCGGTTATAATGCGGTTGCCAGAAATTGTGACAAATACGGTAGCGAGAGAGAGAGAGAAAAACTATTATTTTTATATATACAGGGAGTACAAGGGAGATAACCCGCACCAGGCAACCCCTGTGCGCCACTGGGAAGCGAACAACGAGGTCGTTACGGAGGAGGAGGGCACGCGGAGTGAACGAACGAAGGGCAGAGGGAAGAAAAAGAAAACAAAAAAAGACTGCAGGACACTGCGCAGGCTTGCCAAGTAAGGGAGGAGGACAGTTGCCCCGGTGACCGATAAGCCTTTGCACCGGTGCCAACGCGGCTACAGCGTACTACGTTGCTAGCGTGGCTGCGGCCGCGCCGCTCAATGTGGCACGTGCAGTCCCGTCCTTATCAACTGCCTGCGCTTATGCGCTTAACAGTTTCCTGTCGGAAAAGACGTCATTATCGAGCTAGCAACAAATATCCCGTTTGCTTTCTCCTCCGTAATTTGAAAATCTTTTGCAGTTTTAAGACGCGAGCTTTCACTTTTGCTGCCAGTGCGCTGCCAGTAAGCTTGGCGAGCTGTCACCACTGCTTATTTCCCGGCCACGAACGCGAACTTAATATCACACACGCTGTTCTTGGTTCACTGCTAGTGCAATTTTTTTTACCCTGAATATTCATGTTTTGGACAAACTTTCGCGACAACATAACAAACGGCAAGCTAGGCCTAATTGGCGTTGATTGCGCTTTGATCGATAGCAGTCTCATGAATCTAAGTTGCAGTTTTGTATGAATCAACGAAACTCTTTGCGGTGGCTGCACTTGATGGGAAGGGATACATATCACTAATGAAAACGAGGGCGGCACGTGTAGCGCTCAAATAGTGGTTCGCGATTCAATTGCGATGTCTTAAATAGAGTGCGCGCCTGTGAAATCGAATGGTTGACGCCTTTCAACGCATCAAATTGTAGAAGTGATTCGACATAGTTCCTATGTAATGCGCATAATCGATGCGGTCTGGTAGTCGGCGAATTTCCACGATGGTGCTTTCATTTGTTAGACCCCACCCTCGCGCGCTTTCGTATTCATTTCATTGGCAACACGTGTCTTTGGACGTTTAACTCTTTATCCATTCAGAAATTCAAATGTTAGCAAGCACACATCGCATGTTTCGATTCTCGGACAAGCAAAGCTGCACGCTCAACATGTTTTGCGCAAGTGCGGCCCTTGAAAAAGGTATTGGTTATAGTGCAGTACCGCTTGTAGTGCAGATATTCGCGACTCCCGCAACTTACGTTATAAGCGGTCTATACTGTATTTCTCTTCCTTGAAATTTTGGACCTCAGGGTTGTTTATTGGCCCTTTAAGTGAAGCACCAAACTAGTGAAAATGGTACAATAAATATTGTGGTGTACACGTATCCCGAAGGAGTACGGCCACCAGCGTGGGTCCGGTCTTAGCGAGCCGCAGGGCACGCGTTAACCGTCGCCGTGGCGGGAAACACGATACTGCTCAAGTCGCAACACTTTATTGTGGCAACACCAAACGCAGTACAGCCCGTTGCAAATAGGCGCGGCGGGAAAGCAAGTAGGCTTATCCACGCCACGGGCACAAAGTACTACACAGGGGTGCCACGAGCACGTCTCTGCGGTAAAGCTGATCCACGGAGACACCGGAGCAAAGGCCCAGTTGCTCGAGCGAGGGCAAAGGCGCTCGCGTTGGCTTCGAAGGGAGACGGGTCGGCGTAGCGAGGCCACGCACTAGGACACCGTACCGCCCTTCGGCCGTGCGTACGCAGCGGGGCAAACAGCGGGTGAGCGTTCGCCTTGGGCGCGAGGCGCCGTCAGCGAAGTCCGACGAGCCCCCGACTGACGGGAGTCGACGGACGAAAAGATAGCGTGGCTCACCGTTTGCTGTCCCGGAGAGTATCTGACCGCTCCCGACGCAGCGCGCGAAAACCTCTCTTGGGAGTCCCCGTGCGCGGCGCCACCATCAACATCCGCTACCGGGTGAGGGAGTTAAACGTCACTCCGCTCTCCCACCACGGCAGACAGCGAAGGAGGGCAGACATGTCGGGACATGAGAACGGCAGAAAAGGCGGCAAAGCCCGCGCAAAGGCAGCGGGCTAGCCTCAATTCCCACATCCCCCTCTCCTAAATTTGCCCTTTACCGGTCCGCAAAAAGGCAGCCGGACGTCACCCATGCAGTTAAAATGACACTGCTATGAGCGACAGCTAACCTCAGTCCAGCCCTGTTACTGCTGCTAAAAAAAAAGATCACAAATGAGAAACAAAACATAAATAACAAAGTAAACACATGACACTATACAAATAACTGCGGAAGGGAGCACAGCAACGTGGCACTAGTGTTCGTGGTGCTGAAGGGGGATAGCGTCCAGTGCGCGGAGGGGCGGTAAAGGCGTGACAGTGTCCGCTGGGTGCGATGCCCGAGTGCGAGGTCAGAGGTACGGGAGGGGGCTCACTGATGGCTCGTTGCTGGTCTTGATAAGCAGCGAGTCCGACGAACGCTGCCTCGGCTGTGCTTCGGAGGCCCCCGCATTTCTGGCTCGATGATGAAGCTGGGACGTTGCGCGAAGCTGGGCCTCTCCAGTGCTCAGGGAGGCCGACCCAAATTGGCTGCGAATGGCGTTGGCCGGCAGCATATAGCTGCTTTCAGCTGGCCTCGCGCAGGAGCCATGGTGGTAAAGGCAGCGGGGCTTCTTCGACGACGGCCGAGAGCAGAGCACAGCCAGATGGTCTGACGTCAGTGGGTCAATGACCCCCCAGCACCTCCAGCGTCCGCATCGATGGGGGGGAAGCCATGACGCACTCTTCGCGGGCTCGCACTGAAGCGTCACGCACTTACACACGCACACACACCGCCGACGGCTGCGCGAGCGTAGGCGCAAAGCGTCCTTCGTCTCTCTCCCCCGGCAAGCACCGACACTCAAGGTCACACACAGCTCCCTTCGCGGTAGACGAAACGAACACGAAAAAAAAGTAAACACAGAGCATACTGACACTAAACATCTGGCAAAAAAACAAAATACAAATAACACTTAATATTCGACAAAAGAAACATAAAATACACATGAACACTTAAAAAAAATAAACACTGGCAGCAGACAGGGCGGGGTCAACTTCTTTACGAGAAAAGGCCGTAAAGAAGCTAACCTATACTGAGGCTAGACTAAACTGAGGGCCTTCGGTTGCGGAGAAGTCCGCCGTCCGGCGCGAGATCACAAAGGTGACCGCTTCCTCAGATTATACCGGCGCGGGGTCCGAATGCGGTCCGCCGCTCCGGGTGTGCCCCGTTGCTGGCGCGCAGTGCCGC